TCTGTTGTTGACCTGCCTCTTTCAGGCTTGGCTCCAGCACAGGAAACTGGGCTCCTAATCTTGCCAGAGGGACCAAGGGAGCTAGTGACATTCGGAAGCATAATGATGTCAAGGGCAAAGCTCCTTCCTTCTAGGAGGGAAACAGCAGAGACTGTGTGAGGATGGGAAGTGATTCATCTCATGTAATGTCAGAGGCAGCACTGGATCTGGAAGTTTCACTCAATGACTTAATTTCACTGCTGCCAGGAAGACAAGGAGGCCATAGGACTTGGAGTAGAGAGAGGAGTGTTAAACAATTATGAAAATTATCATTTCTACTAGGATAGAGGTTTAGATTAAATTCAGTTTAGATTTAAATCCAATTGGCTTGATGGAAAATTACCAAACTACTCAAACACAGGTCCTATTATGTACCGCCCTCAGGGGAAACGAGACAAGGACCCTGCAGATAGCATGCTATCATCCACAACTGAAGGCCGCAGGCAGCGGAAAAAGAGGAGGGACAGAGGTTAGAAGGCTGGATATCTGACATCCTAGCCCTCCCAGTTGCTGGGGACCATGTGCCTCTTGCTTAGCACCCACAAATGGGTGGGTGTAGAGGATTAACCAACTAACTCACTGCCAGCGAGTCAGTTCCAACAGCATGGCAACCCTGTGGAATGGAGAGAACTGCCATGGCAAACTCTTGGCAGCAGTAGCAAGCCTCATCTTTCTCCTACAGAGGACTAATACAATGGAAATCAGTCGAATTAGATCTACGAGGAGTTGCAACCTACAGTCCATTTCTTTCCATAGAGAAAGCTCCAGGAGTTGTGTTTTGTTTTGTTTTGAGTGAGTGCTCAAAAATGATGTGAACACTCACTGAAGAACCACCAAAGGGAGAGGGCACGTTTACAGAGCGAGTCACAAAGCGATCCTGATGAGAGAGGACTGACAGGAGGGATCCCAGTGTAGATACAAAATAAAACCCATGCCTTTGTTTTGTGTGTTTAGTTCTACGCAACGCAACACCAGAGAGTCAGTACCGACTCCTGGTGACCCTCTAGGGATGATTGAACTGCCGCATGGGTTTCCGAGACTGTTAACTCTTTACAGGAATAGAAAGCCTCCTCTTTTCCCCTGGAGAGACTGGTGGTTTTGAACGGCTGACCTTGCAATTAGCAGCCCCATTTGTAACCACTATGCCACCAGGGCTCCTTCAGTTCTACTAGCATTGATTACAGAAGCAGAGACAGACTCAGCTCTGAACAAAGGTTGAGTGTGCCCTCTGCTAGGGTGAATTAAAAGCAGTCTCTCAGTCTTGGAGAGGAAGCTAGAGCCAAACACAGTTGGAATCACGGCAGGGACACTGGAGTCAATGAAAACATCTACTGTAAAACCCTAGAAGCAAGAGTAGAGAATTACAAGGACCTTTTGGTTAATTGCCTAGCACTGCAACCACTGTGCTGGCTTAAATAAGGTCTGGGCTGGTATGAAGAAGAAAAAAAAATTAGAATTTTTTTTTAATCAAAGGTGAAAGAATTGAATTTCAATTCTAAAATGGTGATTGACAAAGTCAAGGTGAGTGAAAAATGGACCATATGAAGACACACACTCCTTTGTTATGTATGATATTTTGGATTTCCTGTTGTTTGCAGCCTATTGGGCTGCAATCCCTGAAGCTGGCAGTTTGACACCACCAGTCACTCTGCCAAAGGCAGATCAAGTTTTCTACTCCCATAAACAGAGACTCTCTTGGAAACTCATGGGGCGGCTCTGCTCTGTCCTGCAGAGTCGCTAAGGGTCGGCATAGACTCCATGCGTGAGTTTGGCTTTATTGTTTGAGTAGAACTTTGAGGTTAACAAAAAGCTTTATCATTTTAAAGAAAGCATTAGATTCATCTAGGAAAACAATGAAAGTCTGCATTGTATATTTGCAATCATTATTCCCGAAGAAAGACTCTCAGCGGGACGACGGACACCTGAAGAGGATTGCTGGGAGTCCACTGGCACATGTTGGTTTACTCTTCAAAGTCATTGGCACACCGTAGAACTCAAGGGTGGATAATACCTGGTCTTACCTGCAGGGCTCATGTGTAGCAGGAGCAGTGGTAATGTAAGGGCACGGGCCATTACAAAGGACAATTTCTATAATATCCCCCCACCCCGCTCCCCATATACACCCAGGATGCAGTGGGCTCACCTGAGTACCCAGGAGGACTCGGATCCAAGAACATTGAGCACACTTGGGCCTGGGTGCTCCCCAGATAGCCCAGGCCAAGGAAAAGCTCGTGGAAAACACAAGTGACGTAAAGGAAGGCACAGGGACTTGAAAGAGCATGGTGTGTACCGAAACAAACACCCCCACCATGACCATTTAGAATGACTAGAAGGCTGACTGCAGTGGCCAAGGAGAAAGGAGGCTAGAGGCTAAAATCAACAACAAACAGGACTAGAATAAGAGGGGCCTGGATGGGCAGGAACTTGGGAACTTTTTATATGGGGAAGAGGAGCAGTGGCAGAACTGCATCTGAGGGAGCTCACTGTGCCCAGCCTTTGCAGAGTGTGCCCAGCACTGTGGCAGAGGCTGGAGGCAGGCTCCGCAGGAGCGCAGACTCTATGCAGTGCAGTGTGGCAGGGCTGAGAAATGTTCACAAGTTAGGATCAACATAACCTGGAGACTGGGATGTTTGAGATGAAGGTAGGAGGTCCTCAGGGGAGGTAATAATAGCACTGATGGTGCATGGCTAAAGTGCTTGGCTGCTCACCAGAACGTCAGTGGTTCAAACCCACTGGCTGCTCCGTGGAAGAAAGCTGTGGCAGTCTGCTCCAGTGAAAATTATAGCCCTGAACACAGCCTAAGGGACAAGTCCAGGCTGTCCTATAAATTGCTGTGAGTCAGAATCAGCTCAGTGGCAATGGGGTTTTTTGGGGGTGGGAGGAGAGGAAGAATTTGGTTTGTTAAGTGCTTGGCTACTAACTGAAAGGTTGGTGGTTGCAATCCTACTGGAGGTGCCTGGGCAGAAAGACCTGGTGGTCTGCTTTGAGAAAGCTCAAAGTCACCCCAAACCTTACTGAGCACAGCTCGACTCTGACACACATGGGGTCTCCATGAGTCAAAGTTGGCTGGAGGACACCTGGTTTGGCTTCGTCACTGTCTTACCAGGTCCTGGGAGCAATGGGCATGAGGGAAGTCAGCCAGGGAGTCAACACTGGGAGCACGTCCTTATTGGAGGAGCCGCCGCCCTGGGTTCAGACGCAGTGGTTCAGAGTCGGGCTGTTAACCACAAGGCCAGCAGTTTGAACCCACCAGGGACGAAGGTAGAAGAGGCTTTCTGCTCCTGAAAAGACTTACAGCCCCAGGACCCCACAGGGACGCTTCTACTCTGTCTGATAGGGTGTCTCCGAGTCAGAATCGCTGCCTGGCAGCGAGTGAGGGAAGAGGGATCTGGGACGAGAACACCCAGAAAGGGATGGAGCCCGAGCTCAGGGAGTCATGACAAGCTCCAAGAGGAGAGACTCGGAAAAGGAGGGAACGGGCCAGATGCCAGGGAAGGGACCAGCCCGGGGCAGACAAGGATTGCATTGGGCTGGGCGCAGGGGCGGTCCTCAGTGATGGCGGTGGCAGTGTCCTCAGCGGGGTGAGGGCAAAGACCAAGGCCGATAGGAGGGCACGAGAGTGGGCATCGATTCCAAGGAAGCGCGCGTGGCACTCGGCAGTGCATGGGAAACGAGGACCCACGGTGACACTGCAGGCGTTGATTGATTTAAACACGTGTGTGCAGAGGTGTGTCTGTGTGTGTGCAGGTGAACACACCAGGAGACCAGCCTGGC